CACTTGAAGATTTTTTTTTTTTTTTTACAATATGAAGAATAAATAATTACATATTTGGCTAATGCTTACATATCAATAATATTTTAGTGTCTAGGGTTAGGGTTAGCCTAAAACATTTATGGACATATCTTGCATGACAGCACTGCAATAAACAATAAATAAGAAATAGGACTAGAAACATTGTAAGGGGGTGGTGTATAGGGTAAACAAGAATATCTTCTTTCCAGATGCATCCTGTTATTCTCGCAGACCTTGCTCAACATCCTTGATTAAGCGAATAAACGATAAAGACAGGAAACACAGACAGGCAAACTCAGAGATATTTCAGCAGAGAGCTTAATATAATTTAACAGTAGCCTTGCTTGTGATTGATATATCAAGTAGCCAAAGTAATGTTGATAAATCGAGATATTTCCATCTGCAGACCCGCAGCGCCAGCAGTTTCGGAACCGGAAGCCAGTTATTTGCTGCGTTCGAAACCGCATACTTCCCTACTATATAGTAGGCAGAAAGCAGGATGTGAGCGAACGAGTATGTTTGAATCCTCAGTATTCATAAAAGAGAAGGTGAGAATTATCTGACTGGTGCACTAATCCTCGCGAGATTCAGACTTACGTATACTTTATTTGCGTTCGAATATGCCCAGCATGGTAGATTTTGGTAGATTTGTCCAATGATGAATCAGCTTGCATGACATGTCCAAAGAATGCTAACCGTTGCATGGTAATTCGACATATCTGGCTTGATTCGATTTAGGACTTCCGCATTGGTTTTCATCGCCGTCCAACAAATCTGGTGAAGCACTTCCTGCCTCAGGCCCCTCTCTGCTCCACACTCATGCTATGATTTATGTATGTATTTTTGGTTACACTTTATTTTGATATGTTGTATGTTGTGGAAAATAAAGTGCAATCAAAATAAAGTGTTAGAAGATATTAAGCAGACAGTCTACTAATACTCTCATGACTGCTAGTTGACATGTAGTTGCAAAGTTACTGTTAGTAGATTGTCTAAAGTGGACTATCAAAATAAAGTGTTACCTTATTTATTTATTATAATTTTTATTTCAGGTTGTTTATTGGTCTATTGGTCATTTTCACAGCTTTCACAAGAGACACTGTCAATGCACTTTTAATAACAATAAGCATTTAAAGTGCATCAATTTGGAGACTAACTGACAATGCAGTAATTCGGCATTTAATTAAATGCAAATATTAAGATCACAGTATAAAAACATTTAAAATTGTTATAATAAAATAATATCCTAAAGAGAAAAGTTTGTCTACTTACACATCGTGTTTACAGTCTCCTTTTCCAGCTGCAGCAGCTAAGCTACATCAGTGATATACAGGCATATATATATAGAGGTGGACAATCACGTGGTGTTTAGAAGAGAAAACGTTTGTTCAACTTGAAGCGGCGATGCTCAGACCAATCAGTGACAGATCATCAAAGTACCGCGCAAATTGGTAGAGAGCAGACGGCTCTGTATGCTTTCGAATCGCTCTCGTCGCGATATTCTTCGCAATATTGGAAATATTTCTGTGTTAAACCGTGAAGGCAAGCCAGTGGATATCATACAAGCAACGTGCAAACTTTGTGCAAGACTTTAGGTCATTGCAAACTGAGTCCGAAATTCTCGTCCGAAATTTTTGCACGTTAAAAAATATATACGACCTCACGTTGTGTCAATAGCTACAGTATGTTTCCATCCAAAGATTCGAATTAAACGTATGCGCAAAACTGGAATATTGCATAAAACATATGCGAATAAAGCACAGCTTCCATCCAACGAGTCAAAGAGAACAAAATCGTCACTCCCTGGTAAACTGTGGCACTAAATATCACAAAAAATATAGGAGAAGCCACTGGATATAATAATTTTCATATATGATAAATGACTTGCGCCTCAGAGAGAGCAGACGTAACACAGTAAATGCTGTCAATGCTTTCGGAGGTGGATGCCTGCTTTTTGGGAACGCAGTCGTGTAAGACAATTATACAGAAATACTTTGACGACAGACTTCGCTCAGGCAATTCAGAATGACCATAACAACATATAGATGCTGTGAACGAGATCGGCCCACTGGTTAGTCAAGTTATCTCATAGTGCAAAGTCACATGACTTTTTCGAAGCGCATGGAGGAATTTATTTGGTAAATGTGTTTTCATCATAGTTAAAAAAAGTTTATCCTACTCAAATGTGCACATACACATTTTTATGCACATTTTTGAATTTATGCGCATCTTGGCGTTTCCATCCAGCGTTTTTTTTTATGCGATATTCCAAAATGCGCATAAAAATAGGTGGATGGAAATGCAGCTAATGATCCCAATGGCAGCCAAATGTTCCAACATGATTGAGTGGGAGATAGTGTCAAAAGCTGCTGTAAGCTTGGTTCAGGCATTTCAGAATGACCATAACAACATATAGATGCTGTGAACGAGATCGGTCCACTGGTTAGTCAAGTTATCTCATAGTGCAAAGTCACATGACTTTTTCGAGGCGCATGGAGGAATTTATTTGGTAAATGTGTTTTCATCATAGTTAAAAAAAGTTTATCCTACTCAAATGTGCACATAAGTTTTTTATGCACATTTTTAGAATTTATGCGCATCTTAGCGTTTACATCCAGCGTTTTTTTTATTAGATATTCAAAAATGCGCATAAAAATAGGTGGATGGAAACGCAGCTAATCACGTTTACACACTGCCTCTGTAACTTTCGTCTGTCATATTAAAAAAAAATCAGATCAGATTTGATTTTCTGTGTTTTCGTATCCGTAACAAGTATTTTAATAGGAAAGGATTTCACCATGAAAGTGAAAGTAAAATCTGACGACGCACGCATTAACGGCACATATTCTCTTAGAGACGACGAGAGACGAATCTACTACATAATATGTGGTATATCACTGCTTTCATTTATTTCCTTAATGTTTCTCTTGTGGCCCCAACAAGAAACAAGAAACGTATTTCGTGTTGAACAGGTTGTTTTTTTTATTCAGTGGCGGAAACAGGCTTCCATACTCAAGTACTAACTAAAAGAATAAACTAAAGAATCAATGTTGTGCTCATATTTTAATGCAGTTATCACAATTACCTAATTTGCAAATCAACAATTTTATTGATTGCAATAAAGAGGATAATGGGAATATTATGAATTCATTATTATAAATAAGACACGTGACGCACAGTGCACCTCCAAAAGCAAGATAACAGGTTTGCGCTTTGTCTGCGTGCTTTGAGACACAAGTCATTTATTTTATATGAAAATCATTGTATACAGTGGCTTCTCCTGCTTTTCTTAGTTATATTTGGTGCCAGTTTATCAGGAAGTGACCGTTTTGTTCTCTTTCAGACTCATTGGGATTAAACACTTTTTTTCCACAACAACAACAAAAGCATTGCAGCTTCAAGCATTACTAACCAGTTTGACTTTATTTCTGTGATACATCTACTGAAGTTCTTATTAAGAATTAACAGATGTTTAGATGTTGATGATTTTTTGAAAATAACATTTGTTGCTTGCTTTAGTTGGGCTCTTGACCCTTGGGTTTTATAGCTTCTGTTTTTTTTAAGACTATCCTTGCTGCAGAGCAGAGACACACAGGATAGATCCACTATATAGCTGTATATTTTGCATGCATGTGCTGTAGAAGCTTTTGAACACATAATTAAAGTTGAAATAAGCATTACAGGGTAGCAATTAGCCAATTAGCCATATGCTTTCTTTGTACTGGCAACTTCACAGATTGGTGTTATTTTGAAATATTGAATATTCATTTTGTGTTTTATCTCCAGGAAACTGCCCGCAAGTGTTGTTTTATTGTAATCTTTATTATAAGAATACTCAACGAACTGATGATTGCACTATGCATAGCTACTTTTTAGGAAAACCATCACCATACCATCAACCACAACCAACCACCATTAAATACAGTATGTCAGTTTTGTCTATTTTTATCTGTAGTGTTTAATTTCTCCAATATCCTAATATCCTAATTAGACAATGTCATTCCATTATATGTGCATTTTGTATGGATTCTAATTTAGTTAATACACACATTTTCAATAATAATAATAATAAATTGTGAACGTTATTGAAAGGATCACAACAGAGAACATTCTCATAACTTTTGCCAACATTCTGGCAAGGTTTTCAAAGTTCTGAACAAACATTCTTTCAGTAACGTTAATAGAACACGTGTTTAATGTTTTCTGTTCTTCAATGATGTTCTCAAAAAATTAGCAGTATGTGTATGTGTATGTGTATGTGTGTGTGTGTGTGTGTGTGAGGAGTGAGTGTTCATGTGTGTCCACACATGATAACACAAATAACACTGAAGCGGTGCTGGAGTTCATGAGATTATTAAGTGGTGATTGAGTATTAATGACGATGACAACTGATGTTAATGAGTAAAATGACTATGTGAAAGAGGAACAAACATTTGGGGTGATTATTGTTATTGAGTAATTCCTCTTGACTTTTGAGCATTTAATAGTTTTTCAATTCGCTGTCTTAGAAAACTTTCTGCATCAGAGGAATACACGGGTTCCTCTTGACTTTTGAGCATTTAATAGTTTTTCAATTGCTGTCTTAGAAAACGTACTGCATCAGAGGAAGACACGGGTAACAGGTGACTAAAGGCTGTCTTTCGAATATTTTGATCAGCTGGAGGAACGCATTCTTCCTCTGGCAGCAAAACATGCCAAAATTACAATAATATATAGCCTTCTCACATTAAAATAAGACAAGTTATGCATGCACATTCATTGATCATGGACTGATCATGTGTTGAAAGTCATTTGTCCCCCCACCCATCCTTTGTGGCCTTTTTCCTGAAAGTCATGTGATTTTCTGGAAAGAGAGCAGATCTTGGAGATATTCTTGTAACACACAGATCCTTTCTGATTGGCTGACATGCGTCTTGCGTAACAGGAATACACTTATATAAATCCCATGCAGTGGCAAAAGACTCCAGCAAGAGAATTCAAGAACACAAGATATCTCTTATATAATATCCTGCAGAAAACTCAGTTTGCTGTTTGGAACACATATTTCCTCAGGTCTGACTGTTTTACATTTACATTTATTTGTTATTTCACTTTTATTAAAACAAATAATTTCTGATTTGTGGGATGTTCTGGGAAAGTTTGTTCTTTTGGAACACTTCCAGAACAAAGCTTAGAGAGTCTTGGTTAGTCAGAATGAATGTTTCATGTTGTTTTATGTCTCACACAGGTTATAGGTGAATTAGGGATGTTCTAAAATGAACAAGGTGAACTTAACTTGGTTTAACTTTTACTGCAATGTAGGCTATTTCTTCAGACCCGCAATTGCAAACTGCAAAAACAATAAAATAGCAGGGAATGAAAGCTATGGGTCGTGACTCGATAGAAATATCTGATTTACAAACAAAATCTTTTGATTAATTGATTTCTTTTAAATCAGTCAAACCAGTCCACAATGAAGTGTGTACGATTCTTCTCACGAATCATGAATCTGATTGTAAATCTCAAGAGAGGCAACCTGTAAATCCGGCAATAGATTTCCGTTGGCGGATGTAAAGATCAAAGTGCACGACAAAGTTATTGACTTTCCAAAAGAAAGAATCAATTCTGAACTGCCAAAACAAGTCATCAGCATGTATCAAATTTGCAAAATGCTAGTGAACCATTTCTACTTTGACCCTCAAACACTGTAGTTGTTTCGTGTCTTCGACATCATGCTGTTTTCTGTACTGTGAAAGCAATTTTTTTTATTTGCTTCCTAAGCATATAAGTGGCTTCCTAATGCCCAAATAATTTCTTTATTTGAAAAACAACTTGTGATTAATTGCTGATGTATTTATGTTCTACTGAGTGTTTAAAATGTGTATGAGAGTAAAAACTTACAATGAGAAATGTCCTGCTCAAGTCGTTCTTGTGATGGGTATTCTGGTTGAATAACTAGCTTTTCCATTTTTTCACCATCAGACTCATTTTATATTTATATTTATTTTGTTAAACCTATTACATCTAATATTGTGAAACTTATGCCATCATTACTGTTTTTACAGCACTTTTGTTTTACGATTTATGGGCGTTTAATTTTTGATGCACACTGTAAGGAGTAGATCAATCACTAGAGCCTGGGCCATCTGATCAATCAGAGCAGAGATCCAGATAGAATCTTCAAACAAATCATTTCAGACACTTTGAGAAACAGGGTGATGTGCAATGTATGAGAAAATGAAAGTGTTTTTTGACTTGGATGCATGTAAACCTATAGTAGCAGACCTCCAAAACAAAATTACTGAACTTTAAAACAGCATAGGGGCACTTTAAACTGAGAAATTTTACACTTTTATCCACTAAATGAGCTCATTTCAAATTTGATACCTGCTACAGGTCTCAAAAAAGTTGGCACGGGGGCAACAAAGGGCTGAAAAAGATTCAGCTGGGAGAACATCTAGCGACTAAGTTAATTGACATCAGGTCTGTAACATGATTAGCTATAAAAGGGATGTCTTAGAGAGGCAGAGTCTCCCAGAAGTAAAGATGGGCAGAGGCTCTCCAATCTGTGAACGAGTGCGTAAAAAGATTGTGGAATACTTTAAAAAGAACGTTCCTCAACATCAAATTACAAAGGCTTTGCAAGCCTCATCATCAGGAAAAGTGTTCTATGGTCAGACGAGTCCAAATTTGACATTCTTGTTGGAAATCACGGACGCTGTGTCCGGGCTAAAGAGGAGGGAGACCTTCCAGCGTGTTATCAGCGTTCAGTTCAAAAGACAGCATCTCTGATGGTATGGGGGTGCATAAGTGCATACGGTATGGGCAGCTTGCATGTTTTGGAAGGCACTATGAATGCTGAAAGGTATATGAAGGTATATAAAATTTCCATTAAACAAAAACTGCGTCAAAGACGACCACGAACTCTTCAGCAGCTGGAAACCTATATCAGGCAAGAATGGGACCAAATTCCAACACCACAACTCCAGAAACCCATAACCTCGATGCCCAGATGTCTTCACACTGTTTTGAAAAGAAGAGGAGATGCTACACCATGGGGGCAACAAAGGGCTGAAAAAGATTCAGCTGGGAGAACATCTAGCAACTAATTAAGTTAATTGACATCAGGTCTGTAACATGATTAGCTATAAAAGGGATGTCTTAAAGAGGCAGCGTCTCTCAGAAGTAAAGATGGGCAGAGGTTCTCCAATCTGTGAAAGAATGCGTAAAAAGATTGTGGAATACTTGATTGTGACGTTCCTCAATGTCAAATTGCAAAGGCTTTGCAAATCTCATCATCTACAGTGCATAACATCATCAAAAGATTCAGAGAAGCTGGAGAAATCTCTGTGCGTAAGGGACAAGGCCGAAGACCTTTGTTGGATGCCCGTGGTCTAGAGGCCTCAGACGACACTGCATCACTCATCGGCATGATTCTGTCATTGACATTACTAAATGGGCCCAGGAATAATTCCAGAAACCATTGTCGGTAAACACATCTGCAGATGCCAACTAAAGCTCTATCATGCAAAAAGAAAGCCATATGTGAACATGGTCCAGAAGCGCCGTCGTGTCCTGTGGGCCAAGGCTCATTTAAAATGGACTGTTTCAAAGTGGAAAAGTGTTCTATGGTCAGACGAGTCCAAATTTGACATTCTTGTTGGAAATCACGGACGCTGTGTCCGGGCTAAAGAGGAGGGAGACCTTCCAGCGTGTTATCAGCGTTCAGTTCAAAAGACAGCATCTCTGATGGTATGGGGGTGCATAAGTGCATACGGTATGGGCAGCTTGCATGTTTTGGAAGGCACTATGAATGCTGAAAGGTATATGAAGGTATATAAAATTTCCATTAAACAAAAACTGCGTCAAAGACGACCACGAACTCTTCAGCAGCTGGAAACCTATATCAGGCAAGAATGGGACCAAATTCCAACACCACAACTCCAGAAACCCATAACCTCGATGCCCAGATGTCTTCACACTGTTTTGAAAAGAAGAGGAGATGCTACACCATGGTAAACATGCCCCCGTCCAAACTATTTTGAGACCTATAGCAGGCATCAAATTTAAAATAAGCTCATTTTGCGCATTAAATTGTAAAATTTCTCATTTTAAATATTTGTTATGTTATCTATGTTCATATTGTGAATAAAATATTGGCTCTTGTGATTTGAAAGTCTTTTAGTTTTAATTTTATTGAAATTTTAAAAACGTCCCAACATTTCCGGAATTCGAGTTGTATTTTTTTAGAATCTAAATAACTCATTTTCAGAATCTAAATAACTCCTGTTTTTTTTTATTCCAGTTCCTCAATTTTCCTCTTATACTATGGGTGTGGCAGACGAACTGTGCGAAGAGCTGTTCCGTTGGATTTATCAGCAGAAGAAATGTGCAGATCATCTCATGGATTTGGCCACCGAGCTGGAGAAGATGAGGGAGGCGATGACTACAGGCCAGTTTGTGGGAAACACAGCAACTGTGCTTGGGTCTGCCACCCTAGTTGGAACAGGCATTGCAACATTTCTGACTGGTGGCCTGGCTGCACCCTTGCTGGCAGTGGCAGCTGGTATCACTGTCGGAGCGGGTACTGCAACTAGTCTTACACTTTCGCTTGTGGAGAATTGGAAATCCAGTAAAACTATGGAAAATGCAGAGAAGACTGCTGATAAAATCCAAAAGATTCAGAACAATGTTAAAAGGCTCCAGAAGAAACTCCAGAAGGAGTGTCAGAGTGAAGGCTTTAAAGCGTTATCCTCCGATGACGTGCAGTGTGAAATCACCGCGAGGATCCTGAGAGCCATGGCCAAACGGAGTGGTAGAGATCTGCCCCTCAGTCGCCTAAGGCACCTCTTGAGAAGTGATGGCATGTATACATATGACAGATATCCAACGTTTAATCATGACATTGGATTCATCTGCACTGTCAGTTCTTTGCTAGCATTCCTTGGATATTCTGCCATCTTTCTGAAAACAGCAGCAACAAAAGGACAAAAATATTATACTCCACTTGTTGTGAAAGCTACTGAAGGAATGGCTGATCTTTCACTGAAAGCTGCGTTAAAGGGAACAGGCCAGGTATTTTTTCATAGATATAAACCACACACACACACACTCACACACATACACAAATATGTATATACAGTACAGTATGTTTTTCATCATCAGGGACTAAATAACAATTGTGAGGTCCTCACCAACTTTTATAGAGCAATAAAAACCTCAGTTGACAACAAAAAACAACAGAGTTCAATGTGTAGTAATTTTTTTTTACCAAAAATAAACCAACATTCAGAAACCAGGTGGGGAAGAAATAAGTACACCCTTCCTACGTTCAGTCATTAAAAGAGTAATTAGCAGCCAGGTGTTACTACAGGCAAACTTTTGGCAGTTTGGTGTTCTAGAGCACTCAGGTGTGTATCTACATCCCGCCAAGAAGAAAGGACATCAGCCATGACTGCAGAGAAGCAATTGTTGTCCCAACAATTTGAAATTCACCATTCCACAGTCAGAAGAATAGTTTAAAAATGGACAGCCTTAAAGACAGTCGCCAATCTTTCCAGGAGTAGATGTCCCAACAAATTCAGTCCAGGGGTGGTGGAGGGGTGATGATTCGGGCTTGTTTTGCAGACACAGGACCTGAGAAACTTGCAGTCATTGAGACTACGATGAACTCCACTTTATACAGGAATATTCTAGAGGAAAATGTGAGGCCTTCTGTCCAGCAGCTTAAGGTGGGTCGAAATTGGTCATGCCACAGGACAACGATCCCAAGCACAGCAGCAAATCAACAACTGAATGGCTGAAGAAAAAAAAAAACGGTGATGGAATGGTCAAGTCTAAAACCAAACCTCAACCCCATTGAGATGCTGCGAAGAAATCTTAAGATTTGTGCACAAACATTTTTGTGCACAGATGAATGACCTGAAACATCAATGAACTGAAGCAATGTTGTAAAGAAGAGTGGGCCAAAATTTCTCCAAAATGATGTGAGAGACTGATAAACTCTTAAAGAAAACATTTACTTCAAATAATTGTTGCTAAAGGTGGTTCTACATGTTACTGAATTGTAGAGTGTACTTATTTTTTCCCCACATGGTTTCTCAATGTTGGTTTACTTTTTGGGAATTTATATATTTTTATATATTTTTCACATCTTTGCAGGCCGCAAGGAGGAATCTTTGGGCTGATATTCACAGTTCCTGATCTGATTAATAACTGTGAAGAACTGATTGAAAACAAACATCAGACTGAAGCTAGCACATTTCTGAAGACAAAAGCTTATGAAATCCGTGAGACTGTGAAAAATTTAAAAAACCATTGAATGAATTGCAGTAAGTGTTTCTCTGCACATTTTATGTAAATGGTATATTGAGTAAGCAACATGAGTAAGAATGCTTACTATAACACAATAATAATACAATAGATCTTGTATTTACAGCTCACTGCTGGATTTCATCGCCTCTAAATTTATCTTTCAGAGAGATGCTCAGTCAAATCCCTGAAATGGAGTGTCACATTGATTTGGCTCAGGAGATGTTTGGATCTCAAATATATACGCAAGGCACCATTTGTATGGAGTATAAGCAGACCCAAGAGCAGGACAGGAAGACACAGAGGTTTATTTTCCTATGCACAAAAGACATAGGAGTAACTGAGTATGGTTCCACAGGAAAAGACAAATCAGGTGACAACAAGAACAAAAGACGGAAGAAGAAGGCTACTTCAACTGAAGACCGGGGCCTTAACCAGGAGAGGAAAACTGCTTTTCAGAGGAAGCCACCACACAAGTCTAAAACAAAAGTAAAGGAATTTCAGTTCCGCCTTCCTAAAATAATGATGTCTAATGTGCGTTCTCTTCCAAACAAAATAGAGGAGCTCCAAGAAATGACGGAAGATGTGGAAAACTTTAATTCCGATCTGATATTCTTCACAGAGACATGGTTGAATAGGAACTCACCCAGCATTAGCTTGGATGGATATACGTCTTACCGGGTTGATCGTGATGCACGGATTACTCAGAAAAGTAGAGGAGGGGGATTGATGATGCTTGTGAATGAGGCCTGGGCGACTGATGTGAAGGTGGAAAACATCATGATTACTCGAGATTATGAGTTAATGGTTGTGTCCATTATACCACGTGACCACCCTGAGGGTGCTCCACCACTTACCTTCATCCATGTGTATATCCCTCCAGGACCTAATATTACTCAAGGTGCCATTGACATCGCTGGTTTTTACTATGATGCTCTGGAGCAGTATCCTGATAGTCCTGTTTTCCTGTTGGGTGATTTCAACCATTGTGACATCACTCATCTCTTGGACCTGGAGCAATATGTCACATGCCCAACCAGATACGGTAACACCCTGGATCAGTGCTATGGGAATGTGCGAGGGGCTTATAGATCTGAATGCAGACCTCCGCTTGGCCGGTCAGACCACAATGTCATTCATTTGATTCCTAAAAAAAAGTCGGATGAAAGTGACCCCTCCAAAGATGAGAAGTGTAAACATGAGAATACCAAACCCAGAAAGCAATGAGAGGCAGCGCAATAGTTGTAGTTCTCTGTTGTTTTCGTGTAGCACCATGGTCCTGAAAGAACATTGTTTCGTTTCACTGTATGCTGTGCTAGTATATGATAGCTTGTTTTGTCCTACAGATGTAGGTGGCATCTAACTATTTTCAATTAACTTATTGAGTATAAAAAGTCATTGAGAAAGAAGAAGACAGGATTATAGTGGGAACTGGTCTGAATACAGGCACAACAATGAGGAACAACATGAGGGAAAAAAATCTCCTTTGAATGAAGAAAACTGTTGCCTGATATGCTTAAAGGTCCCCTTAAGTGCTTTGAAACACAAAGCATTATTCTGTGTGGTGACGTAATTTCAACTGAAACAGGAAGACAGGGCGGGACATATCGAGCAGCCCCGCCCCCTTTTTAAAATAGCCAATAGCGTTTTGTTCATATCTGCTCGGGCCAGAGCCATTGCGCTCGGTAAAGCCGCATTTGACTTGAAAAATGACATGCGACTTAAAAAGAAGAAATGCTACCACCTTGCTGGTCTACAATTTTAATCAAACAAATTACTTTGCTACTAATAGTAATACTGCTAAAAGATATTCGATCACCATTATCACCAAAAATCACCTGTAAATGTGTTGATTGCATTGAAAGGACCAGGACTCAGTAAATGGCACAATTAATTATTCACTGAAGAGGAAAACAAGAGAGTGTTCACAAGCTCTGGGGCAGTGGAAGTTCAGTGAAGCATCCTCTGTAATCCAAGTGCAAGATAAAACCTGAGGCCAGGATGTTAATTCAAGGAAATGCCTTCTATACTAAATCCCCAGGAAGAATGGTTCAGTGGGTTCATTGTAAACCATTCGCCTTCTTGAACTCTCTCAATCTACTTTTATTTGATACTGATAAACACACACCAGTTAGTATTTAACTTTGAGTGCAATCCTAATCATAAACTCTTGCCTATTACATAAAACATTGAGCATATACTATATCTTACACTGTGTTAAGACTTCTAGTGGAACAGAGAGTAAGGTGTGTGTGTGTGTGTGTGTGTGTGTGTGTGTGTGTGTGTGTGTGTGTT